CATTCCTCCTCACCTCCCCGTGGAGGACATTTACTCGTCTCCCTCACGTCTCGCATGGGTGCAGTGGGGAGCTGCGGGGCTTCCCGCCTCCCCTCCAACCCAGCATGGGGGGGCAGGTTGCTAAGTGTCCCGAGAGAAATGCAGGTCCGCTCCGTGCTCTCCCCTCCCCCCACCTCGTAGCCATCAGTCCCCCAGGACCTTGCCCATGTCCTCCCCCACTTCCAGGGTGCAGTCCCCGATTCCCTCCCCCAGTGGATTATATGTATTTAACTACTATATGCCTCCCAGTTTACCCTCCTGCTCACTGGCTGCTCACTTTGGGCAGGGTTGGCAACTGGCAAGCATCAAAGAGTCAATGTTAATGCAAATGCATATTACACAAAATAAAAAGACGGGAAAAGGAAATATAAAAACACGTCTCTGCCTCATTGTTCAAACTGGCATCCTAATCACAAGCTTTGTTTGGCCTAGAGGCAAATAGATATCTAAATAAATGTGTTCAGTAATTTTTCTGCATACTTCTCTTTCTGGGCACAACTTGAACTTCGCTTATTTAAAGGGACACTATAGTGTTAGCAATACTAACAAGTACTTATTATAGTGAAAAGGAAGTGTTTACATGAGGATGCCTGAAGGGAGCTATTATACTCACCAGAACAAATTCAATAAGCTATGGTTGTTCTGGTGACTATAGTGTCCCTTTAAGTGGATGTGTAGGTAACCAGCCCCCCCTGTAGTGGCAAGGTGTTTAATTCACCTTTTTTCCTTTACCGTGCTGGTCTTGCCACGGCTGGCCCCGCCTTCACGACAGATCATCAATCCTGATGACCTCAGCCAATCCAATGATCTCCCATTGAAAAGCATTGGAAGGTTACTGTGCCAATCACCATCTAACTCATAGAGATGCATTGCATCACAGATTCTAAATGGGGAGCGTTCAGCACCTTCATGCAGAGTGTGGAGACGCTGAACATTGTGCAGCACGGACATAGGAAGCACCTCTGCTGGCCATCTGAGTGACTACCACTAGAGGTGTTACTAGGCAGAGACAGGCTATACACACCAGAACTAGTACATTAAGATGTAGTCACTGTTGACTATAGTGCCCCTTTAATATATATATGTTTTATCATTAGCCCCACAGTCAGTCCCTACAGCTAACCACACTGCTATACATTTTAACAGTTAATGTGTTTGATTCACTGAGTGGGGTCAGACCCATTAAATCAGATTCGATTTCTCACAAAGCATGGGCAAATGCTCGGCAATTTCATTCAGCATAATCCATTGGATGGTTAGGGTCTACATCATGCAAGTAATGCATGCATACCAATATATACACGGAGTGGATAAAATAGTAATCCCAACTTTAAAATACATTTAAAGTAACATACTCACATTTGCAGATGGCGCCGCAAAGGTGAGACTAGATGGAAACGTCAAAGCATAGGATACCTAATCACACTAATGTACACACAAATGAATAGAACAATATGTGCACCATCTGTTACCAGTATCAACAAAAAGAGTACACGGCAAACCTTAAGCATGGTAAACCATTGCTAGTCAAAGCAGCTGTCACCTTAAGGGGTCCTTGTATATTTTGCAAAGAAAACAAATATTAGCTTTTAATTGCATTGGAAACTCCAAGACAGGGTTAGAGTGTGATTTTATCTTTATATACGATTCCAAAATGATATTGTGGTAACAGCCATTTTAATGCCCAAACACACACGTATAAACATGTGTAAGGAGCACAAAATAAGTAATTAAAGCAATGGGTTAAGCTGGCACTCAAAGCAGCTTAACTAGCACAGCTGGTTGGAGCTAAAATATTCACCAATTTCCTGACAAATTATGTAGGAGCGGCTTTAAAAAATAAATTAAAAAAAAGCAAAAGGGCTTTCCCCTAGAGCAGTGATGGCGAACCGGTGGCACGCCGAGTCCTCTCTGTGGGCACGTGGCCATAGGTCGCCAGGGCATGGGGCTGCTGGCGTCGGTCGTTAGCAATGCAGAGTAGACACCTGCCTGCCCAAAATGGCAGGTGCCTACTCTGCTTTCGTGTCGGGAGGACCGGGAGGCAGGGGGAGGGATCTGGGAAGCAGCTCTCCTGTCCTTCCGCGAGCAATCTGTGTGGAGTGTTGCCGTGCGTTCCCATGGCAACACTCCACACAGAATTGTGCGGGAGGACAGGAGAGCTGCACCCAGGCACATACTTACCACCTCCAGTGCCTTCTGTGCGTGATTTTTTTTTTTATGTATCTTTACCACCACCCCCCCACCCACACACACACCCCACCCATGCACACAGCTCTCCCCTCCCCCACCCACAACCACACAGCACCGCTACACCCTCCATGCACACAGCTCTTCCCTCCTCCACACAGCATCCCCCCACAGCACCCCTCCCACACACACAGCACCCCTTTCCCCCCCACACACACACAGACTCCACCCCTCAGACACACAGCACTCCATACACAAACACGTACACTGCACCCCTCAATGCAGTGTGTGTGTGTGTGTGTGTGTATATATATGTGTATTCAGCAGTCTGTATGTATTCAGCAGACTGTGTGCATGTAATTAGTCAGTGTGTGTGTCGGGGTGTGTATGTATTCAGCAGTCTGTGACTGTATTCAGCAGTCTGTGTGTGTTGTGGACACAAATATTAACCCAATTCATATTAATAAAATGCCTATTTACTCAGCATAACCACAATCAGCATTATTCAACCTTATATGTGATTTACCTAAAATGGCTGCTAGGGAGTTTCCCTTTGACATCGACTAACACCCTCATTAACAAGATGGCGCTGGAATCTGGGGGAGACCTCCAGGATACCAGTGACATCACACCCGGTAGGAAGGGCACTAAATGAACCACATCACACCTAACCAATTATTGATGTATTATTTCATGTTATCTCTGACAATGCATATTATGTAATTTTGCTTTATAAGGGGCATGCCGTCAGCCCAGAATAAACATTCAAGTTTTTCATTAACCCGAAATCTGTGTCTGGTGTGAATTACTTCAGGAGTGTGCACGCATGTTTTTAAATGTGGCCGGGGGTAGATACACAAGATAATCAATTAATTGATTGATTGATTCCACATCAGTGTGTATGTATTGTATGTACTGAATTTGTTGGAGATACTAATAAATATAAGCTTAATTTTATCTATTTATATCATATCATTGAATGCTCTGTTGTGTTCTTTTAAAACAAAATATGTTAATTAGTTCAGACAACTGTACGAGTTGTTTTTTTCTAAACTTAAACCTCATTATTCAGGTTTAATTGCCATGTTGGCACTTTGAGGGAAAAGAAGTTGGCATTTATTGCGGTTTGGGCACTTGGGCTCAAAAAAGTTTGCCATCACTGCCCTAGAGTCATAGCCCATTCCCTCTGTAGTTGCAATTTAAAAGTCCCTTTTTTGAGTGCAAATTTCTTTAAAACGAGTTGACCGAGAACCAGGGAATGGCAACCAATATCAGTAGGGCACTAACCCAAGATCAGAGGTGGCAGTCTGTTCCCGATGGTAGGCAGCAGGGATGCTGCAAAGCTAGGGCCTGGTCTGCCTGTTCAACAAAGACAGCTTGGGTGGCCCTGCACTAACACTGGAGGGAGGGGATGGGAGGTGCAGGATGTATCATCGTTTTGTATCTTCTAGATAAAGTGGGATTTATATCTGGCACACGTTAAAAGATACTTTAAACTCACAATGTATATAGCCAATTGTTAAATGGCAGAAGATCCATAATGGTACACTCCTCCATCTTGAGGGAGCCATTAGATCAACTCATTGGTTTGCATGACTGTATAAAAAGCTAAAAAGAACATTGAGACCATTCACAGGTCCAATGGCACTCTGGAGTTTCAGATGTAACTGGATGTGAATTTATATAGGGACACATGCTGCGCAAAAAACAAACAAAAACAAAAAAAAACATCAGTGCTATCATGTCAGTGGATAACAGAAACATGCGAAAGCAGGAAAGCTCAATATTATAATATTGCAATGTAGTGGTGGCAGCATATAAAAACATCCGAGCAGCAATTTTGTTTTTCTACAGCCAAAGTGTAGCTGAAGTCTGAGACAGTAATTGTTAAATTGTAACTATAATGCTGTTACAATATAACTTTTAATTTATCACTTTACAGCCATTGCTCACTGTCAGGTCCAAGCACAGATGATTGAGTAAGTTGAACACAGTTCAGTTACTTATTTTAAATATATACTCACATCTGTAGGAGCAAAATAAATAAATAAATAAAAAAGGGACGGGTGGTGGGGGATAAATTGCTACAGGCTGAAAGTCTCTTAACGGAATCCTAAGGGGAAGTTACTCCATAAAGTGAATTAATCTGCCCACCCCCCACTTGTCACAAAGTCTTAAAGGGACCCTGTAGTCACTATAACCATGTCATCTCTTTCAAATATAGTGCCTGGAGTCTCCTGGCACTGTACCTCCATTCAGTGTTAAACCATTCTAGAGCAGTTTAACATTCAATACGAGTCCCT